GCTTCTCCTCCCCCACTCAAAGAATAAGTTGATTTTTGATTTACAAAAAGCTATAAGTTGTATTGTTAAGCTGAACCAAACACATCAAAATAGCTCAAGTTAAGCTAAAAGCTGAAATAAATTAAAAATAAGCCCTACCAAACAGGGCCAAAGCAATTTCGGACCGATCATGTCCATTTCCTATCATAGATGGGCTTTAAATGGCAGATAGGAAGATATGCATTGGTATATAATACAAAACAAATATGTGTTAGGTTAAATTGAGGTTTCTATCATTTTTTAAGTTCAAGCTTGTCTGCAATTTACTTTGTGAACTAAATGGTATCGTTGGGACTGTGGGGTATATTACGGGTTCTTTTCGATAATCCGAACCGTTCTATGTGTAGAGTTCGTCGAGTACTTTATCTTTGTAAAAAATTACGTTGATCAAATATCAATAATTACTTGATCGGATCAGATTTTTGTCAATAATTTATTTTGAAAATTATATTTATCGTTGACAGAATTCTGATTTGATCAAGTAGCTATCGATATCCGATCAACGTTATTTTTTACAGAGATAAAGTACTCAACGAGTTCTACACATTGAACGGTTCAGATTATCAAAACAGGTCCCGTGATAGACCACATAAGCTTAACAGCACGTTCTAATCTGATTTCAGAATGGAGAAACTTGACCCCATTTTTTACTTGCAATTTCGGGCATATCATGTTCATTTCCCATCATAGATGGGCCTTATATAGTAGATAGGGGAAGATATGCATTTATGGGTTATAATACAAACAAAAAATGTGTTACGTTAATTTGAGGTTTTTATCATTTTTTACTTGCAATTTCGGACAGGCCATGTTCATTTCCTAGATAGAATGATATGCGTTCATGGTATATAATACAAACAAATATGTGTTAGGTTAAATTGAGGTTACTATCATTTTTTACTTTTGAGATTAAACGTCATGGACAGCTCGTGAATATAACATTATAGTTGTTCAATGTTTAAATGACACGTAAACCAAATGAAAGCACAAGAAAAAAAAAGTCATGCCATAGTAAACAGTAATTTTCTCGTATCTATATGACGACGACGATAACTTCTCCTCGGATTCCATCTCTGAGACTAAAACACAATACCCATTCCAAATATTTAAATAATCTTCATCGATAACAAAAGAAATTGAGTTCGCAATGTTTTAATCATGAAATCCAACTCAATTTTTCAAAGAAAATTGAAGCTCCGCAACAGTTGAAGGAGGTGTGTTATCAAGTGCTACGCCATTCAAAGAATAATCAATCAGAATTATGAAGGAATCATTCACCCAAATCGTGAGCTATGAACAATAACATGAAGAAATAAGCGCAACCTACTGTATCAAGTTTCAATCAGAACTCATGATAAACAAATCACGCCGTCTTCGCAAACCCAGTCCTCCCCATTCCCTGCGCCACCGAGCAACTGTAATCACCTATACAGCAACCATGGCTTCTACCAAACCCAAAACTCACCATATAAGTAGGGTTGGAAACGAGTAGAGTTGAGTCGAGTTTTAGTATATATTTGGACTTATTTATTAAGATTTTAATGTGTTCAAATTTGATCTTGAGCGCAATAAAAATTTAACAAACCGAGCTCGAGTCGAGTTGGCTTTGGTTGGACTTGACTCGAGTTCAAACTTGTTCACGAGCCTTAACGAATCAAAAAATTTACAAATTCATAATTGTATATGAAATTAAAGTTACAATTAAAATTTTGATTATACAATTATATATGTAATATATATAAACATATTTAAAAAAAGTCAATATTTTATTAAAATAATAATATCTACCATCATTATTATATAAATAAATATATTATCTATAGTCAGTTATTATTTACATTTATATTTTTTTAAATATATAAATAATATATTTATCTTATTTTTTTAACATATTTTTATAGTATTTGATATATAAATGATAAATGTAAAACGAGCTAACTAATGAGGCGATTTTAGAAGCAAAGTTTTAATATGTTTGGATTTATTTATTAAAATTTTAATGAATTCGAAATCGAACGTAAAAAAATTTAATGAATCGAGTTCGAACGAGCTCTTATCGAGCCGAGGTCGAATTTGTTTACAAAAGATTCTATTTATTTACAGCCCTAAAGAAACTTGATAGTTGCCGGTAATCAGGAGAAGGGCTCATTCATCTCCGGCAGGAGAAGAGATGACAATGGTGTAAAGAGAGGGGACTCAAGTGAAGTGAGGCTCTTTACTTTTATTTTTATTTTTTTTCATTTGACATAGGTGTCAGCTAGGCTTTGAAGAACCGTAAAGTTGATATTCACGCACCATCCATGTATAACTTTCTCTTTTAGTTTTTTTTCTGACCTTGAAAATCGTTTAAAGTTCTTTCAAACACCACCAAAATTGTGATTGTGGATATAGAAAGTGACTTCTCGTCGGTTTTAATCTAATTGTTTTTCTATGAATCCAATCTGGACTCAACTTTACTTACCGTAATTATTTATTTTGTCATATAAAAATATGTATTTCGTTAATACTTTTAAATAAAAGAAAGAATAATTGTTGATTTTTTTTTTTTAAATGAGATTGGAAATTGAATAATGTATAATTCATTTATTATGATTGAATAATGTATAATTCACCTAACTCCAAATTGAATAATGTATAATTTGTTTACTATGTTTCGCCTAATTCGTCCGAATTATACATATAATTCGTCCTCTCATAGAGAGATGTGGGATGCATGGACTTATTGAGTGCACCCACATAACTCCCCAGTGGACTGGACTGGGCAGGAAGTTACCACAGACAGCATCAAATAAAGCAGCTAACTTCTCCTCCCAACTGGCACAATATTGTCCGCTTTGGAGTTAGGCAAAGCCAACAGCTAACCCATCACGACTTTTCAAAGGCCTCATACTGGTCTAAGGGAATTAGTTCACTTATATAGTGAAGCTGTGATCTCTCACAGAGTGATGTGGGATGTGTGGACTTGCCAAGTGCACCCACATAACTCCCTAGTGAACTAACTGCCTGAGTAAGGAGTTCCCACTGACGGCGCCAAATGAAGCAGCTAACTGTCCCCGACTAATACGATATTGTCCACTTTAGAGTTAGGCGAAGTAAGTAGCTAACCCCTTACAGCTTTAAAAAGGCCTTATACTAGTTTAAGGAAATTAGTCTATTTATGTAGTGGAACTGTGATCTCTCACAGAACGATATAGGATGTATGGACTTACCGAGTACACCTACAACTATAGTCATTTTATTTTTGAAATATTAACATAGATATAGTAAATCTCATTATTTAAAACCAAACACCATGATGGTAGCCACTAACGTGGCAATATCTCTCAAATATGCGGTAATTGCTTCAATACTATGGTCTCATTTGGGAATATATTATTTTAGTAATTTTTTAATTTTTTAACTAAAATATGAGGTAAAAAAATTAAAATGTTTGGAATGATTTTTTATTTTTTTACTAAAAAATATGCAAAAAATATAGAGAAAATAAAATTTTTGACTTTTTGACATAGGTTATAAGTTTTTTAATTGTTTTAGTAATTTTTTGATTTTTAAACTAAAAGTGTTGCATGCCAAACAAGGCCTAAATGAGTTATTGAGTTTTTGTGAGTGCGCGGATAAATTTGGGCTCCGCTTGGTTTACTTTTTAAAAAGAATTTTGGATTTTGAATTATATTTTAAAAGATAAATTATTAAAAAAAATTAATTGAAAATTTTGTTTGGTTATAAATTTTGAAAACAATTTTATGATGATTTTTAATTAATTTATTTATTTATTTATTTATTTTTCGTAATTGATTAGATGGTTATAAGAAAAAATTTAATTGATTGATGTATACAATATGTGAGAATGAGAGAGGAGAGAAAAAAGTAATTAATTGATTTATTAATATAAAAAAGAGAAGAAAAAAAAGAGAAGGAAAGAGGAGAGAAAGAAAATAATTTTTAAAAAAAAAGTTTTAAAAATTAATAAATCAAACATGTTTTTAAATTTTTTGATTTAAATATTAATTTAAAAACTAAATCAAGCGTACCTTGAGCTTTCAATTTGAAAAAAATAAAAATAAAAAAGTAATGTTGACATGATACCATCTAATTGACACCCAATTCCAATTTGACAGGGAGAAAGTATTTCTCCGAATTTAAAATAATAATAATAATAATAATTTTGCATAATTGTAAACATTTTTTGTTTTTGTTTTTTTTTTTGCTAGGGGAGGAAATTTTTATTACAAAATCAATAAAATTTGTATCAATCCGGTACCGTGGTATTACAAGATCTCAAAAAGAATAAATAATCTTTATAGAATGAAGGATTCAAACCTCAATAGAGGAAGAGAAAATGTCCCTACAGGAGAGGAAAACAAACCTCCACATAGAAAGGATTATTACACGAACAAACTAAAAATTAAGAAAATTAAACAAAAAAAAAAATCAAATCCAATTTGTCACCAAATTCATTCAAAACTCCACTGCTTTGCAATCTTTGGAATTTAAAATTTTCATCTCCGTTGATCAAGATAGAACACTGAAAGTGAGGTGGTCACCTAGCATAAAGTAAATGCGTTATTCAATATCAGTTTTCGGACTGTAAGAAGATCTAAATTCAAATCTTTAATTTTGGATTCGAGGGTGAAAAAGATAATACGGTGATGGTCGAACTAGTGAGACCAATATCAAATCCCAGTTAATCTAGAGAAGGATTGGAGAAAGGGAGAGTGGAGGGACATAAGAGTGGTGAGGAACGATTGTTGTCTCTCTTTTCACTTGTAGGAAATTTCAGAGAAAAAAATTAAAAAAAAATTTAGAGTTTTTAGCTTCATTTCTTTTTATTTATGATATTTTTGTGAGAGTTTATTTATAATAAAATTTATTATATTAAATTTCAAATAAAATCCACGGACTTAACACCATTTCGAATCCGTGTGGTAAGGTCTATATAAAGGCCCTTGTAGTAAGGCCCATGGTGTGTGTGTTTTGTGTTAACAAGCTAGTAGTCTCCTTCAAGCACTCTCTGTGTAAGTATTTTCCTCTAAAATATTTTTTGTGTATAAATTATGTATTATACTTTACCTTATTTCTGTGTGTGATCTTTATTTTGTGTCATTATATACTTGTTTGTTTAGGGCTTACACATCATTTCTTTCATAACAAACAATTATAAGTTCCTTGGAGTATCTAATGGTGTATCAAAATTTTTTTTTTTTGGGGAATAAGACATAAAATAAAGACAAAAAAAACAAAACTACAAGGGGCATTCCCCAGGCCCTAACCGCCACTATACAGGAGACCCAACACAATAGGCCAAAAGACACTATATATACAGGTGTAACAATTTTTTTATTAAATTTGAGTAAAAGCTTCGTTTAATATCAAGTGTTCCAACGGAAGGTTTTAGAGTTTCATTAAACCACCGGTCGACCGGACGGACGACCAGCCGATCGATCGGCCAGTATAATTTTTTCACAAATTTTTGCCTTGAGGTGATCATTCGCGGGACGACCGAGAGGACATCTAGGGGGACATCCGGTGGTGAAAATCCAACGACAATGAATAGTGATTTGATGAAAGAAAAGTGAAATCCTAGATTTGATACGTATTTGATGAAATCGTTGGAGTAGGTTTTGAAGCTATTTTTCATCAAATTTAAATTTGATGACAGTTTTGAGTAACCATTATAGATGGTCTTACTAATATATAAATATAAAAAATTTACACAAAATAACATGATAAATTTATATATATCCATTTTAAATCAAACGATTCGTTAAAATAGTTTATGAATTTAAAAATATTACTATTACATCATTATGATGAGATTAATTATTTTTCTTTATCATTAATATAAAATTTACATTAAATTTTATTGTAAGATTTTAAATTCCCCATTAATTTTTTAAAAGTTAATGTGTCTTAGAGCATCTCTAATGATTCAACAATTAAATAATTAACTATTATTATCTTCAACATTGAGTATTATCAAAATATTATATTTTACCAATATTTCTCTAATAGTGCAAATATTATTTAAGAAAATTTACCCATAAATCTTATATGGAGAAATGTTGATCCATTTAGTTTGAAAAGTTTTTTTTTTTATGAACCAATTAATCCTTTTTAATCAATTAGTCCTTTTATGTAATTTACACTAACACATTAAAAAAAAAATTAGTGTACTTTTCTTAAATGTAACAATCCAATCAATGTAATATATAAAAACTTCTTAGTATATTTTTTTCAAATGTAAAATTTCAATGTAATACACTAAAAAATTTCTTAGTATATTTTTTCTAAATGTAACAACGTAACAACGTAACATTCTAAAACAACTTTTTAGAAAAATATTTTGGTATTTTTGGATGAAGGTAACACCTAAATTAATGAACCTTTTCGGTAATTTTATATTTTTTCCATGTAGAAATGTAGATATATGCTTACAATTTGAAGAGTTCTTCGAAGAGGTTGAACAATTAATATTATAGATAGTATATATATGTTCTGTGTAAAACATAATTAAATGAAAATTAGTTTAAAAAGTTAGAAGTTAAAATACATAATTAGAAATTTAAAGTTTTTTTGTTGGATAATATGTAATTTAATTGAATTAATATTTTTTTATGACAAATTATAGTTGTTTAAATTAGAAATTATGTGTAGAAGAGAGAAGGGAAAAATTAAAATAAATGAAGCAAAATAGAGATAGATGATGAGAGGGGTATTAAGTTAATTTCACATCTTTCTATTAACAGAGTTAAAGGTAAGGTGCTTCAACTTTAAACTATAAAGAGATCAAATGAATTTTGTACAATAATAAATTTCTTTACTTCTATGTATCCATTCAATCGGACTGTTCCGCCTTGATTGAATCTCAGAAGCATTCTTATCATTTGGTAGATTCAAGTCCATGGCATTGTGAAATAATCTCTTTTTCCTTTTGAAGTGTTGTCGTATTAAATTAGCCCTAGAAAGTACCAAATGGGTGCATATAAAATATGATATAATATGATCAGTAATGTTAGGTATCATAAAAAAAATTTCATGAAAATAATCATGAAAGTTTTGTGACTCTTGAATTATACTTAGAATAAGAATAAAGCACCACACACTAATCAAGGTAATCCAAGGATCATAACTCTTCTATGATTACTTTCATGAAAAAAATTTCATGATTCCTAACTTTTCTCTAATATGATATATATATATATATATATATGAGTTCATGAACTTATCAATTAATAATAATACTTGCTTGTTTTCATTTTTCAAAAAACACTTTTCAGAAAATTCTACTTTCTTATTTTTCGTGTTTTTTTGTTTTTAATGAATTTTTTTAATATTTTAAGCAATTTTTTTACTTTTTAGACACACCTAACATAAATATACCTAAAAAGTAAAAAAATTGTAAAAAAATATTTTAAAAATTCACTAAATACCAAAAGTTCAAAAAAAATATAAGAATTCAGTACATTTTTTTTATTTTTATGTATTTATTAATTTTTTAAAATATTTTTTATAAATTTTTTACTTTTTAGATACATCTAAGCAAAGTGTATCTAAAAAAGTAAAAAAAAATGTTTCAAATTTTACAAATATTCACTAAAAACAAAAAAAATACGAAAATCAAAAAACTTAATTTTCAAAAAACTTAATCTAAAAAATTCAAACCAAAACACACTGATACAACAATGAATGAATAACACACGTGTACTTGTGGGAATTTATACAATAATAACAGGCACAGATAAAGCACAAGTGGGTCTCAGCATGAATAACACACATGTCATCACGCTTGTGAAGATTCACAATAAGACTGGGGCCACTGTAACATATTTTACCAACAAAGATTTTTCTGGGGCATTAGCTCCACAGAGCAAATATCCAGCTCAAATAGAAAATGGCGAGTACGATTTGTTTGAGCATGAGGGACCTGCTGGAGACAATGCTGGATCGTGTGGAGCGGTTGTGTATTCGGTCACAAACAAGGATGGGAAAGCCAGTCATTGGATGTTGTCTTGGTCCAACCCAACCGGTGAGAACTATAAGGTACATACCTTTCTTATTCTGGCTTGATTTCAGAATTTTTAATTCACTTTTTGAAAAATTAACAATCCGTTTGGTTTAGTTTTTAAAATAAGTTTTGAATTTTGAATTATATTTTGAAAGACAAGTTATTAAAATGAGTTTTGAAAATTGAAAATGTGTTTGGTTATGAATTTTGAAAATAATTTGAGATGATTTATATATTTTTTTAATTTATTGATTGATGTGTAGAATGTGAGAAAATGAGAGAACAAAGAGAAAAAATGATTGATTGATTTATTAATAATAAAAAAAGAGAAGGAGAGAGGACAGAGAAAAAATAATTTTAAGTTGTGTTTTAAAAACATGTCAACCAAACATGTTTTTTCTTTTCTTTTTCTTTTAATCCAAATCATGATTTGAAAACAAAACCATACACTACCTTAAGTTTTTTATTTTCTATGTTTTTTTTTTTTTTTTACTAAATTTTTTTAATATGTGTAGTAAATTTTTTAGTTTTTAGATACACCTAACATAAATACATTTAAAATTATAGGGTGTATTTGGTTTGTATTTTAAGATAAATTTTCAAAAAAAAAAAATTTGGGAGAGAGAGTTTAGAATTTTTTTTGATTGTATATTTTGAAAATAGTTTTAGCCTATGTTTGGAAAGAAGGATCTGTGGCTTTTTTGGCTAAAATAGACACAAAAAACAAAATAGACTTTTTAGCCTAATAAGACAAACCATCACATCACATTCAACTCATAATCATTACATTCTTTCTCTCACAAAAAAACTTAAAAATCCAAAAAAGCCAAAAGCCCTTCCCAAACCAGGCTTTTTAGCCCCAGGTTAAAATAGCTAAAAAAATCAAAATGTCAACCCACTTCCCAAACGAAGCCTTAGAGTTTGGGAATTTGGGATGATTTGATATTTTGTTGTAGTTGAGAATGAAAAAGGAGAGAGAAAAAGTGATTGATTGATGTGTAAAAGAAAGAAAGTGATTTTGAAAAAAAAAATTAAAAAAATTTGGACCAAACAAAATTCTAAAAATTTTTCTCAAAAATTGTATCTTGAGATACAAATCAAACAAACCCATAATATTTGTGAAAAAAAATCTTTAAAAAATTTACTAAATATAAAAAATATAAAAATTCAGTCCATATTCATATTCTTGTGTATTTATTGATTTTCTTTAATTATTGTTTTACAAATATTTTACTTTTTAGGTACATATAAATTAGATGCATCTAAAAAGTAAAAACTTTGTTTAAAATATTAAAAAAATTACTATAAAAAAACACAAAAAACAAAAAACTCAATTTTAAAAAATTTGAGTTCAAAAATTGGAACTAAACAAGGTGACAACATTAGGATAATCATATTTTCTAATCATTATTTGTTTTATCATATTACGTGTAAAATATTGTATTGATTTTATGAGTTTCATTCACCACTCATATTTGTCATCAATGAGATATATGAGATGATAAACAAAACATAGTAAGAAAACTATGGTCACTATAAATTTCTAAAAGTGTATGCACATAACCATTTATATATGTTTGAGTATAACTTTTGGGGAAAAAAAAAAATCTTATTATACTTGTAGGTCTTTACTGAGATTACTGGACAAGGTCACTATAAGCCGAACCCCAACGACCCTATTTGGCATAATGTCCATGCAGAGTTGAGCAAGTCTGGCACCACCAGTTCATCTGACTGGAATGGCTGCCACTCATCTATGACATCTATTCGTAGTAATGATGTGCCAAACCGCGTAGATGTGGATGCAACAGTGACACTAGCCACAGCCAAGGCCTAAGAAGTTGCGATCTGCGACCCAGTCATACATGATGATATCTTTTGGAGTAGTGTGTGGAGTATTAATGTCTTTCATATGGCAGTGTGTAATAAATAATTTTCCCTATGGGAAGCTTCCCCTTGTAAATTAGTAAGCATGTTATAATTATAAATAATGTCATCTTCATGTGCTGAAATGACTGGTAACTAAATGTAATGTTTGTATCATTTGAATTCAATAAACAAGAGAAGGTTTCCCCTTCTCAGTTGTGTGCCAATCGTGCAAATTTTCGAAAGATGTTTGTAAGTTATTTATAATGCTTATATTTAAGATTAATGTTGTGTTTGGTTGGAGGATTTGGGGAGGGATTTGGAAAGAGAAATGGAAATGGTAGGTGAAATGTGAATAAATCATGTCTATATTTCACATAGTTTCACACACCATTTCCCTTTCCATTTCCCTTTCTAAATCTCTCCCCAAATCCCCCAACCAAACACAGCATAAATCAAACTAGTGGGTGTTTGTTAAATAAGAATGTGATTTCCTAATTATTGGTAGGGTAATATGTCACTGATTAACTACTATACAATTTTTTCATTTTTTTTTTTTTTCATATATACATTCAATCTTTGAAAACTATTTTTTGTCATAAATATGATATGTGCACTTTACATGCACATTTTTTGTCTGTTTTGTTAACAAAATAGAAGCATAAGGATTAGATTGAAAATTTTCAGAAAATAAAGGGAGTACATTGTCTCGGTTTTTAGTTTGAGAGGGGTAAAATAAAAAATGATGATACTTGAAGGGGATAAGGTGTAATTTGCCAATAATAAAATGTTGAGAAAAAAAAAATACTAACATTACATAGTGTCATTTTTGGAACAAAGTAAAAAGCCACGTTTTTAGACAAAATGTCCAAAAATGTGGCTGCCAAAAACGCAACAAAATCTCTTTGGGAAGTGTCAAAAACGCAGTCCTAAAATTATAAATTAGGGCCTATGAAAAATAAATAAATAAACAAATCTCTTATGTTGGGTAAGGGTATTTTGGTCATTTTAATTTGATTTGACACCATAAATAAATATTAAACTAAAAAGCAAAAAGTTAACTTTTTACCAACTTTCCAAATCACTTTCAAAAAAAAATAAAAAATTTAATAAAACATAAAAACCAACTTTTTACCAACTTTTTAAAACAATCTATATTTCATAACCGTTAGCACGCATGTCATAACCATAACACTACACATTTCATAACCAAAATCACTGACTCATAATTGGATGTACGGTGCATTTAATGAAACCATAGCAAGACCCTATATCATTCTAGTTGGTACCTCCTGCACTCCATCTATTTGATTGGGAGTAAGTTGAGAATGGGGACGACAGTCCACGTTTGGCTGTTAGCATTTTAATTAAAATAGTCATAAAGTCAAAACACTTAGTCACATTTTCCTATTTTTTTGCACGTTTTTTTATAAAAATTAAAAAATCAATTAAAATAATTACTTCACAAATGAACTCCAATTGTAACTTCATGAACTATTGGTCTTGGAAATTTGTGGGGACGAATAAAAAATGAAATATGTGTAGATTGTTCTTGGGTGAAAGCTTTACAAAATCCCAATGGGCTGTAAGTCATTGCCGAGTAAATACAGGAGATCCCACTATTGCCGAGTAGGTCGTAGTAAACAGGGCCCAATTAAAACCAGGCTGTCCATGAGAAAGTGGGCCCTAAACAAATGAGCACAGGAGAAGAAGTATTATAAAAGGTAAGAGCTGTCTTAGACAAGAGGTATGTAAAAAAATATCACAAAACTTCAAAATTAAATGTCATCATATGATATAAATCAATCGTTAGAAGTGAGTAAGGGATAAAAAGAGGACTTCTATTAAGTAATTAAACTTAGGTTAATTAGTTTTCTCTTATTTAATTACTTAAATTTCGAGACATGACATTTTGGACAATTTTTTTCAAGTGAAAAAAATAAATAAATAAACCATTCTGCTGACTTTATAGCACACACCTAATTGTTATTATTATTATTATTATTTGCTGAAGGTGCAATTATTATTATTTTAGCTGTGGGTGAAGAGGGGATGTTACCAAACCACATCTAAATATAAGAATTCCCCTCATTTCTATAAAAGGACTTTATTATAAACGAACAGTAAAGCTTACAAAGTAGTCATCATCAATGTGTGCAAACATTTAAGCCATGCTCAAAAAGAATACCTCTACCCCTCAAACTACAATATCTCTCATCTGCTTTATCTACACTTGATTAGAAAGAAAGAATTCACTGAAACCTAATTGAACACAAAAATCCTCTCCCCATGAACACAAAAACCAATCAAAGAATGTGCTACCATGAAGACATTATATACTTAACATGGTTGTATATTTACGTGCAAAGCTGTGGTTCTGCTTCTGTGGCTTGCCAAAATATGCAACGCTGATTAAATGAGGTGAAGCAGGGAGAGAGGCATTTCTACTCTATCAAATTTCAATGGTTGCGCGGGTTTTAATAGGTTTAAGCTTGATCCCTAAGCTCTCAGGGGAGAGCAGCTCTGGTGCTATGCATGAATACGTCAGACTAGGAGGTTTGGCGGGGTTTGATCCATTACTTGATGCTGCAGATAAAGGTAGTTGTTGCCTGTATAAGCCAAACCCCATTAAAAAGAATTCAATGGGAATCAACATTGCGTATGGGTGTTCTTCTGTCACTAGCGAGCCACATGACTGAACCTGTTATAGACAAAAAATAAAATATAAATAAATAAAATCATCCCACAATGTATTATCATTATTCATAATAAGAAACTAACCAGTTCTAAGATACAAACTTATTCCTAATGATCCAAGGCAAAATAGGTAACTAGTAATGTTGTACTGAAGTTGCTAACTGTTCCTTCAATTACATTCACTGGGAGTTTCAACTTTGTAGTTAGGTTTTGGACATTAGTCCAAACATAGCTGATGGGGAATGTTTCTTGTCCAAGAATTTGAACATTTGGTCTTAGAATCCTGTACCATTTAGATAGTTGACAATACATATTTTATGTCGTATTTGGGTACTGTGATGAGCATGAGCAAGGTGAAATTCACACAAAAAAAATGTACCACACTAATTGAGAGAAAATCAAAAGTGAGGAGAAAGACCAACCTCAACAAGAGCGCATATCTTTTTCTCCATCATAGCATTCATATACACTGATTCAGTATGGAATGGACTGCAATCGCCCACAAAAATGAGTGTTTTGCATGGTAGCTTCTTTAAGCCCTCTGTAAGGTCATGCCTCCTGCATATAAACTTTGTAAACAACTCATAGGGGTTTATTGGTAAAACAAAAACAAAAAAAAAAAGGGGTAAATAGTGTGTGCAAAAGAAAGGAAAATAGCAATTACTAGCCAATAGAAAACTCATAAAACTCTCACTTTCAGCTCTTTCTGCTAAATTCATATAATATAGTATAAATATTACAGGCAAAATATTGTATCTGAATATTGGTGTATCTGAATATTGGTGTATAGTTTGGTGTATAGTATAAATATTACAGGCAAAAGATTGTATCTGAATATTGGTGTATAGTTTGTTAGACTTGATCAAACCACTAAGAAAAAGATTATATCAGAATATTTGTGTATAATTTTTAGACTTGATCAATCACTCACCATGGATGGGTTTGTCAACAAATTGATCAGACTATAAGCATATTATGTCAAACAAACATGGTACTAAATAATATATAAGAAAAATGAGTAGTTCCATGAGACAGTCAATTCTTTCCAAGTAGGAGAACAAAATGTGTTCCAAAAGAAAGGAAAAAACTAGGGCAGAATTGTTTTATGCACAAACATTGCAAAGAACAATATGGTAAACTGAAGAAATGCGAATATAGTATAGGTGCAAGAAGTTACTCATTCATTGCTTGAAGAAAGCGCATGACATTCAAACTTTGCCTTTCGTCTAGTAACTGTACACAGGAAAAAATGATGAAGGTGTGTCTCAGTTTGTAAGCACCTCAAAATCGACAAGGATGTAATAGATAAGAATTAAAAGGTTGCCTGTTTTTAGATGTAAAATAAAAGATGGATCATGCAAATATATATAACATTTGAATGTTTTATGAATACCAAACCAAGCAGGTATCATCCTTCAACAAATTCAACTGGGTTAAAAATAAATAAATACATAAGGGGGGAAGCCCAATGCACAAGGCTCCTGTCATTACAAGGTTTGGGGAAGAGTCGACAGGGTTTGGGGAAGAGTCTGATGTACACAGCCTTACCCTGTGCATAGAGAGGTTGTTTCCGTGTTTGAAACCCGTGACACCCAAGTCACATGTGGAGCAACCTTATTGCTGCGCCAAGCAAATCCAACTAGTTCATGCACCAAATATAGATCAAGGTAACTAAAAAACCCACCTTTAGAGTGGCAAAATATTACAAATTGAATAGTCACATCAATCAAATGGACTCTCATCCCTCCCTCCTCAAACAAATGGAAGCAGGAAAATGGTAAGAAGAAAATACCCCTTCTGTGCAACTTCTGAAAATATGATTTCACTTAGTCGTTTTTACGACCTAGAAACTAAAGCCATTAGATACTCTTTCAGACTGAAAACAATAAGAAATCATATTACGTTATAGCTTATTTTAGCTTACCCTTCGACAAGCTTGTATTACATCTGATTCTGCACCATTCATGCTAGACCTAAGCTCCTGGTAGGAATTCTAGGATTATTATTAAGTTCACCAAATCAGAAAGCAAGCCACAAATTAAGGTGATATGAATTACCTTACTGAAGTAGCGATGAAGAAGGCATTCCTTTAATAGACCACACATTCCATAGAAATATAACAAGTTCAATAATACCTGCAAAACCAAAGTTATCTTATGCCAACTTCTCAGATGGCCATGGAAATCTAAGGATTCTCCAAATCCAAAATACCCGGGAGTGGAAATCCATTCACCATGCACTTGGATTGTGACATATGCAGCATTTGTATGTAATTAATGCTTGCATTGAGAGATGCACAAAATAGCCTAGTTAACGTTATGTATAATAGAAAATTGAACATTTTATAAGTGTTCATTGATGATAGGAATTTTAACCTTGTTATAAAGCCATTCAGTCCATGAAGGTGCTTTGCATACAGGGGAAACAAGGATCAACCCACGTACACGTTCTCTATATTTCATCTGCAAATATAGGTCAGAAGACAAAAAAAATGTAATGAAGAATAAAAACACAAAATATAATAATAAGG